TACCCCAGCCCGGAACCCCCTGCCACACCCTGAACCCCTCATTTCTGGCCCCACCCCAGATACCCCCAGTTACAGCCCTCACCCCTTCCCACACCCCAACTCCCTACCCCAGCCCGGAACCCCCTGCCACACCCTGAACCCCTCATTTCTGGCCCCACCCCAGATACCCCCAGTTACGAGCCCTCACCCCTTCCTGCACCCCAACCCCCTGCCCCACCCCAGTGAAAGGGAGGGAGGGAGGGTGAATATAGTGAGTAGATGGCGGGGCCTCGGGAAAGGGGTGGGGCCTTAGGGCAGGGTTGGGGCTAGGATGTTTGGTTTTGTGCGACTAGAAAGTTGCAACCCTACTCTGGTCCCTGGGGGGCAGAGCTGATGCACTCACAGTCCCCTCCTCACAGCCCCCAGCTAGGAATTGTATTGGGGGCAGATATGTGTGGTCTCAGGATCCCACCTGGGGTGCAAAGGCCACCCCCATTGCCTGCCTTGTATATCTGTGAATCTTCACACTTCTCTCCCCCACTCCCCTAAGCTCTATAAACCAGGCACCCCAACTCCTTCCTGCACCTTCTGAGTGGGGAGCCCCCCTCGGCACCTCTCGGCTCTCATCTGCTGCCTTCTGCCCTGTCTCTCAGGTCGGCTTCATTGAAGGAGATGGCTCCAGGACGGGCGTCTTCCCTGCCAGCTCCGTCCACCTCTTGCAAGAGTGACCGGCTGGTTTTTCCTTTCCCCTCGGTGCCGGTGCGAGCTCTCGGCGAGCGGGTGGGGGGCAGGGCTGAGCGCTCGCTGCCCCACCACCAAGGTGTCAGGACTTTGTGCTCAAGCTGCTCCACAAGGGGATCACAGGAGCAGAGGCCTGTTTCTTGCTTCCCTTCCCACCCTCCAGTCTGGACCTCGAGGGTAATGGACGCTAGGGCATGTACTGTGTTGAGGATTTGGAACAGGGGCTTGGGTGGAATCAACATCCCCCACCCTCCCACCATGTGCTGGTCCATTTAGCCTCTTCACCGAGACTAGTTCCTTTTTCCTGGACGGAGAGGCGGCCGGGCATCCCACCCACCCATCGCACCAGGACCAGTGTCTGTCTCTACACCCCCGGCTAGGCCAGCTCACCCCAGTCTTGCAGCTCAGTGGATGAGCGGGACAACGGGATTCATCGTCTTTGCTGCCTCAGTCAGGGGGAAGCGGATCAACGGGGAAGGCTTGAGGATCTGGTGGAATTTGCAACCTCCTCCTGCAGAGTTGGGGACGGGGAGGGGCAGAGGAGCCGATAGGAAATGGACAGAGAACGGACAGCCTGCTGCACCTGCTCTCCGCTCTGCATGCCTCGGCTTCTGCCATTTGTCTGCTCCATAACTTTTGTGGGCTCTGTGGGGTCGTCTCCTCCTCGGGGCAGGGGTAGGGTTATGGCTGGGCCAGGGAAGGGAGTTCTGTTTGGAGCCTGGATGCCTCTCATCACGTTCCCCCGGGATAAAAGTGGGAGCTGGGAGTTCCAGCACTCCAATACTGGGCAAGGGGTAGGGGCCGGGCGACGCTCCACTGGCCTCAAATGTCTGTAT